TTTTTTTATTTATCTTAATTTACTTATCTAATTGTTTCTTAATCCATCCGCGGATGTTAGCTATTAGACATCCGCGGATGCGAATTCCACATTCGCAACATCCCTAATACATACATAAGTATAAAACGAAAATCATTGTTCATATGAAAGTGTATGGAAGTGTATTTATATTCGGCTCTACTTCGCATTCAGACTGCAAACTTGTCAAATAACTATTTTTTCTCTTAATTCCGCTTTAGAATAATTCGACGAATTTTCATTTCCGGTTTCTACACCCAGCTAAACACAGCCACAGGGTGTATTTATATGCACAGGGTATGCCAGACGAAAGTGAATTTAGAAATTACTAAACTAAAATTCATTTGTCCTATAAATAAACGAACTGTGCAGTTTCCTTCAATGTTAATGACGAAAGTACCTCTTTCTAGCCCAGCATTATATACTTTTCCTGCACTTTTATTAAATCTTGAAAAACAGTTTTCAAACATTTCTTTTTTTGTCTTCATTTAACACGCTATCGCTGTTCCATGCCACTACGTTCCTCTTGCCAATTGCAAGCGCATGCGTTTGTTGTGTCGTTGTTGCTGTTGCTTTTGTACAGTGGTTGATTTGCTTGCCATACATACACACAAACACAAACCTAACAGCACCACAAATCCCTACCGCCCTGCTCTCCCTCATCGAAGAACCAGTTGGCTGGTTGGATTTTCGTCTACGTGTATGACGTCTTCAATGTTTGCTGCGAATTTAATTCAACACCGACTTCGATACGAAACGGACGCGCGCGCGCTTAATGCTGAATTGACTGGCATCGTAGTGAGAAACGTAGAATAAATGGAATAGTAAATAACTACATTAAAATACATAAGTATGTATATATGTATGTAAGTGCAGTGAAAAGTTTTTGAAATCTGTAAATACATAATTATGAATTAAAAACCACAAAGCATAGAGCGAAATAACGTTAAAATGTATAGTTATATGTAGTGTGTGCTGATTGCGGATTCATATACCTAAATTGGCGTTATTAGTGACAACAAAGTCGAAAAAGAAACCCCAAAAAAGTGAATGAAAGCATTTTTTTTTCGTGTGTGAATTTAACGCCAGTAAAAGCGTACCAAAAACCGTATGCGGTAGAGAGCAGACGTCGCTTCCCATACTCCAAACGAAGGTCACAGCGGTAGGCGCCTTTGA